ATGTTTCTGTCATTATTAAACTTAAATGTGTGTACATATCTGTAAAGTGAAAGAACGATTACTTACTTGTTTCAGAACAAATGAAAACATAGTGTACATAGTGTTTTCGAGTAGTTTTGATTTTGAATAAATTTGACTTTCAGAACTAAGCAATTTCACAGCCTTTTAGATAATACTAAGTATCTTCTTGGTGTCTATTCTGTGCAAGTGTAATTTGTGTGGGCTTAATGAATGTAACTTTGTATTTAGAAGTAAAGTAACCATTGTGTTACTTTATTTTATTTAAATTTTATTTAAACTTGGAAGAAAGAAAAATTAGAATTAGAAGGTTATCCTTATAGATCAGGAGAAGTAGCTTGTAACTGCAAAACTGACATTCCAATGGCAGATTAAGGATGTAGTAGCAGTTGTATCAGCTCTCTTCGGCAACAACTTCACAATGGTGACATATCTCTCGTGTACGAGAGCAGAACCATGTTAACTTGCGGGTTATACATTATTCTCCAATAGCCCAGCAAAAAGTGTAGTTGGGTTACCACGCTTACTCTTGTTAAGTGGACATTTAATCTGGCACAAGTAAAGGTATGTGTACCGAATCTGGAGAAATGGCGGATAATATATGTGTTATCCCATTAGGATCTTCTTCTAGATATGATTTTGTTGTTACTAACCAGATAACCTTTAACCTTATGATATTCACTGAACTTCTGACCTATCAGAATCCAAACTGATTTGGCATTTTTGATCATGACTTCTGTTATAGATAGTCATGTTATTTTATCTTCATCAGCCAGTTAGCCTGTCTTGCTAACCTTCCATAATATTGCATGGAAAGGAAATATAAGGATGTAGGCACCGTGATATGCCAGAAACCTAGAAGTTCCATAGTATCTGATGCTCATGAAATAAGTACAAGCTGACAATAAAATTTGACCCTATGTCTTCAGATAGTCAGCCAGTATATTCATAATCATCAATTGACATAGTGATAGAGGAAAAATCACCTGCATTCCCCAACAGTGTAGCGCCAACCTTTCAGCTGATCAACAATCCGCAATAATATTTCTAGGAAATAAAACCCACAGACGTCCTACTGAAGAATGTGTTACTATCCAGCAACATAAGCGTTTGGTTTGGTTTGGTTTGAATTTCGTGTAAAGCTGCACGAGTGCTATCTGCGCTAACCGTCCATAATTTAGCAGTGTAAGACTAGAGGGAAGGCAGCTAGTCCTCACCACCCACCGCCAACTCTTGGGCTACTCTTTTACCAACGAATAGTGGGATTGACAACCACACACAAGTTGCAGTCTCATGTATGAATTCAAACTAAGGTCACACTTACATATATACAAGAAGTTTCACGCAGTTTCTCTGATAAGTATCTGCTAATGATCGGCGTGAGTTTTCGGAAAATAAGAAAGAACTGCAAGCTCTTTTCAGCCTCTTGACATATCAGAATACCTAATGCTCATCAATATTCACATTAATCATCACAAATCTAGTATTTCATGCAATAATCACATTATCTGTAGAGTTCTAGGGAGTTTCAGGCAACCTGCATAACAGAAATAACAAATCCCTCCCAGTAGATAGTTTGGTAACTACAACTTCCTCTCAGCTGTTTATTTACACATCACACAACTGTTTGAACTGCTGAAATCGACTGGCTAACACAAAATATCATACGTATATTTCACCCTACTAATCCACTCGACAATTTGTAAAACAGGGATCATGACTTTCTTCTGACATTCAAACTTTGCAGCTACTTTAACAGCTAATTCCTAACACCATACTAACACTACTTGTCTCCTCAACTTCTAAGTTGTTCTCCTATTGGCTTTCTTTCATGCACCTCATCATAAAAGGTCAGAGAGTTGTCTATAACATCTTTTCTTCATCAGCCAACTGCTCTCATTGTTCCCTCAATTATCTATCTTCTTAATCTCTGACTGCTGGCCCAACCAGTACACAATAATTCATCAGTGACATATGGCTTTAATTTGTCATTGTGTTCAACACGATCTCATGTTTCGTATAATCCCATCACCTTGTGTTATAGTTCAATGAAATGGGCTGTATAAAAACTAGATAAAGATCAGATTAGCCAGAACTGTGTAACATATGCACCGCTAACATGTACTAAAGTCCTATATGCTAAACTGTTTTGTTATTTTACTGTCTTTCCATAGCGTTACTTTTGACATATGGATGCTTTACTCGTCTGTACATGTGCAAATCTGTCAGTATTAACTAATACAGATTCTACCTACACCACATATTGCTGTGAAAATAATGGCATCTCTGCACTGAGAGTTGCTACACGAGGGCTATCTGCGCTAGCCATCCCTACTTTAACAGTGTAAGACTAGAGGGAAGGCAGCTAGTCATTACCACTAGTAAAGACTAGCGAAGTCAAGCTGGTTCTGCATCTCAAAAAGGTCCTGGTCAATACTCTACCTTCAGGACTATATCACACTTACATCTCAATTGCTGGTTCCTTCTTTACACTATGAGTCCTATATGTTCTTGAAAATTATCTTTTTAACTCAAATGAATTATAGATACGAATGGTTTGCAGAAAGTACAAACAGAAACAAGCACACATGAGTAAATTATACTGAACTAACCCCTTGTCACATAATTATGACTGCAAAACAAAAGGTTCAGAGAAATAGCTAGCATAATTTAATTAAACCAGACTCGATCAAAATACAAGAACCTGACACCATTGTTTTAACCTGTAATAATGAATTTTTATTTAACTTTTTGATAAACAACAATATTAAAGTCCATGTTTATGGTCTTCTGAACTTATTACCAGCTTCTCTGTATTCGTCAAACTGTAGTGAATTACGTCGCGAAAAGAAACCTTATTTGTGCTGTGACAAAGATAATTATGGTCGGGTGGGCTCACTTCGTTTGGGACTGTATTCAAGTCCAAGCTCTACTAATAGAGTACCAACGTGTGACGTCACGTTACCATATCAACATATTTGTTATTTCCTGAATAATTTATTCATAAACATTAGAAACTGCTAATATATCACCAAAACGTGAAATTGTTTAACTTACTCGAAAGTAAATAATCGCGTTCAAATATAACCTCTGATACAACATCAATTATATTTATTTATTTGTTTGTTATTATTATTATTGTGTTTGATTCTTCATGAAGAGGGTGAAGGGAAGAAACTCATAGACGACTGAGATAATGATTTTCATACATGTGTTTGAAACGGTATTAGCCTAGATCTAGGTTTGTTAATAATTTGAATGAAATAACCCTTCTTCATACTGAAAAAAGTTCAGTAGACAGGGAAGTGTGTGAAACCTTATATTGCTTTAGTTTGGCCTGTCGTGACTTTGGTAAACGTGATGGTGACTCGTTTACTTCAGTAAAGTTTGAATATAAACATACGACTACAGGTGAATTTTTTACCTTATTAATTTAATCCAATTCTTCCTTTCTTTGTCTCTTTTGGGGAATCTAAAAAATGAACAAGTTTTTCGCTCCGACAGTCGGGCACCATTTTCATTGTGTTTCTACCTATGAAGCCAACCGCGTGTACTTTGTTTAGAACCAGTGGGAAATGTGTGACGTAAAAATGAAGTCATCGCTTCGGCACTCTATACTCCCAAGAAAGGCTCACCACACACGTCAGTAAACTATTCATAAACAAAAAGGGAAAATTAACCTTTCTCACGTGTTTATATATTTCTGCACATGTATAATACATACGAATTAATGATTTATCTAATTTTCTGGCCATATGGAAGCAAACACATCTTTGTTAACCCTGTCCTTGCGTGGAACTTAGGGCGAGATTAAGTGTCGTTAACAGCTGGTTGCGTCTTGTTTGTATTGTACATGCAATAAAATACAAACAACAAAATAATCACCTGAATAAAGAAGTATTGTTAAGCCTAATAATGAATTATAGTTAAAGATTAAAGAGAGTGTTTTGATAAGTAGGCTTAAACTGGAACTAAATGAAATGAATAGTGTTACAGAACCTGCTTTTACTATTACATTAATACAAGTCTCTACTTGACATCGATGTTTGTTTGTTTGCAGTTAAGCGCATAGCTACACAACGGGCTATATGTGCTCTGCCCACCACAAATATCGAAACCCGATTTTTAGAACATCGCAGACTGATATATGATAGTAACTAAATATTATTATTTCGTGATTTATATAATAACGTAAATTTTCTTTGATAGATTGTTTAGGCAAAGTATTCATGATGAAATAAATTGAAAGGACGGCAACGTCGTCCTCTGTACTTGTGTTTCTACAACAGACAATTGCCGTCCATTCAACTAAGTTACAACTTGAATTTTGCTTTGGTTTTTATGTAGTAAATTATCTTAACTATTTTTAAATATTTGAAAAAATGCACGGATGATGATTAGAAATTATGAAAATTGACAGTACTAGGTGGTGATTTTTAGTTGTGATTAGTATTTTGTTCTATATTTTAATATTTTTAGTTTCATTGTTTTAGTTATTAGTAATTAAGCTAATTTCCTTTCAAATCTAATTCAGTTAAACTTATATAAAGCGATTTTTATTAGGGTAATTATTTTAAGTACTTTATTATTTGAAAAAGGTTTAACTTTTACATTAACTGAATTATTTAGACTTTTATAGAAAATATTTCTATGAATCTAATGTTGTTAAGTTTTATATTTGTAAGCAATAAAATTATTGAGAGTTCTCAAATGAAATGTGTTTTTTAAATAACATTTTTACGAGCTGGCAGAGCCTAGCTTCATTATCAGGAAGTCTTGGATTTAAAACATTAAGCTCACAGTCACTACCACGTTCTTTTCGCAACATGACGTTATATAACTAAAATTATATTTCATTGGCATCCCTTTGACCTTGATTCTAAATCGTTTCATTAAATAAACTCCCCGTACTGAAATTCTGAACACCAAAGCAATAATGTGATACCTTTTCATTTCAGAATATTATTATTTATTTATTTTAGTTTCACCTCTCTCTGTTTCTGGTGGGAATTATTGGTGATTTCCAGGAAGTGCTACCACATCCATCCCATCGAGGATCCTGGCACCCATATACAAGAGGATCCCATTATTATTCAGATTATTCTTACCCCAAAACGACTCCATCAAAGAACATATTCCTTCCCAAACCACAATACTGTCCCGAAACAGGACGTACGGTCTGTGAAAACGTTCCTTATTACCCAGCGTAAGTATGCAGGCCGTATCTAAACTGCGCAGAGATTACATAAGCTTGTGTATTTAACTATTTATTCCAAGTTATGACATCTTGGGTATTATAAATAGGGAAAACAAATAATGAAAATGTATACTATCGATCAATAGATATCTTTTAAAAACAAATTAACTTAAATGTTTGGTTATAGCCATTTAGTACCGACCACTTTGTTTAATAAGATGGCCTGTAATTTGTGGCTCTGGCTCACTCTCATATCTATTGTATACGTTCCCAATCCATTTCCTTAAAGTCTAACTTATTTTTTATATAACTCTCAAAATAAAGTAATGATAAATCATAGTTTTTATTTGTTCGTAACCTGAAATATATTTCTGTGACGTTTAATGCATGGTTTCTAACATCAACAGGAGGGTTATTAAACACTACCTCTTTGTTTTAGTACTTTGCTATTTTTCATTCTACAAGGTATTTCAAATAGTTCGTTAAACGTTTTGCTCAATTAAATATTCACTCACTTGCTTCAGTTGGCATTTTATAAAGAATAACCACATTAATAAAATCAAAGCTTGTATATATATATCTTTTTTATTTAAATGACCAGAATACAAAGATAACTGTGATTATAATCTCGACAGTACATTGCATTGTTTAGCTATTCAACTTATATTTCAGCACATACTCTATATCTTCGATTTAATAGTTTATTTAATTTTAACCTGCTTCAAAATACCCAATCAAAAAACTAATAACTTATATAATGTCCAAGGAAAACCTGTTGTTCAAGTCCTGTTTCGGGTATTCACGCAAAGTTACATAACGGCTGTCTACGCTAGCTGTCCCTATTTTGAACTGATAGACTAGAGGAAATACAGCTAGTCAACATCACCCACAGCCAGCTCTTGGGTTACTCTTGTCTGACCGAAAAGCACTATTTGACCGTTTCTCTTACAAACCAACCATGGCCTCAAAGTGCCAAATGCGATTTTGCGGCAACGTGGCGCAAACCATGGACCCTTGGATTAGTAGTCCGGCACACCCGTTCCCTTCAAGTTTTTATTTTCCTTTAATTTTCTATTCAAAGCACTTTAATGGAACATGATCAATGTTACAATGTCAAACACCAGCGCTTTTGTTCAAGTCTTCTTTTCTGTACATCATCTTTCACGGAACTGGTCAGTATATCAACCCTAGGATTCACGGGCCAGTATGCTAAGCACTAAGCCACATCCGGCCCCTTCAAGTCCCTATTTGCCTTTACTTTTCTGTATGTAATATTTTATGAAATTGGTCAATGCTACAGAAAGAAACATCAACTTTAGTTCGCCGCGGAGTTTCAAGAAACTGTTCAGTGTTCCAATCTAAAACCAGACGTAGTGATAGTCTTTACTAAGCTGGCTCAGCAGTGCAGTGAATGTGTGTATACTTTAATCATTTCATTTAGTTTTGAAACGAACTTCTTTCACTGCACTTTTAGTGACATAGCTCAAATTAACGTAGCACTTGCTAGAGAAATTAATGTATGTGATGATGCTGTTTTCTTACGAAAAATAAACAAGCAAATAATCACGTCTGAAAATCTCCAGATCTTGAAAAATACTTTCTAGCATTTATTTTGCTAAATACTCAATATTTGGTAAAGCTACACAATGGACTATCTGCACTCTGTTCACCGATGGGAATCGAATCTCGGATTTTAGCTTCGTAAGTCCATAAATTATTAAGGGGTAATAAAAATGGATAAAATTAGTTGTTGGTCGAGAGACGATGCTTTAGAAAGAAATATTACACTGAGTATAAATATTGGGTAACATCGTAGCGGCCTAATAAATTTTAAAATAATTTTTACTTTTGAGAAGATACATCATAGAAAGTAAGCTATTTTACTCAAGAGTAATAAAATAAGCTAAGATATAGTATTTTTCTTCAATAACAGAATAAACCGTTATTTTTATTTTTGTTTTAATTCTAGTGAGTATATTTTCCACCTGGTGGCAGGCACCAAAGCAAGGCGATTCAACTTCACTTCAGTGTTCTTAGATGAACGCGAAGGAGACGCCGAACCGAATGCCAACCTTCTCCCAAATCAACCTCCAGGTCCTGAAGAGCATCACCACCACCACAACGGTTACACAAACCACCAGCCAACCCATCATCCCTGGTACCACGGATCATCGTATTATGGTCGTAACCAAGAGTATGGCCACAGCTACACGCCATCTCACCCATATTACCGGCACAGGTAGTGTTACTGACTTACACCATTTAAAACAAGAATACATACAAACTGCAAAATAACATAAGTTGAAGTAAAATGTATTTTGCTGTCTTTACTAAAAAAATACAGACCTTTGTACTATATTAGTGGCAGTCATTTTCAATCCTTGTATAAAAGATGCAATCCTATGTGATATGTCTGTGTCAATTAGTTATCATTCCTAATATAAACGTTGTAGTCCCATGAGTCCAATATGATATGTCTCAAACAGTTAGTTGTCTGTCCTTATACATAATTTGCAGTACGATCACTCCTATAAGGATATGTCTGAAAGCAGATATTTGTCAGTACTTGTATAAAGGTTACAGACACATCAATTCTATATGATATGTCGGGCAGTTATTTGTCTGCCCTTCTATAAAAGTAGCAGCCCAATCAGTCCCATATGATATTACCATGACAGTAATTTGTCATTCCTTGTATGAAAGTTGTAGTCATATCAGTTCCATATGATATGTCTGAGGCAGTTATTCGTCAGTCCTTACATAAAAGTTGAAGTCCTATCATTCCTATATGATATTTCTGTCACAGTTATTTGTCAATCCTTTATAACAAGCGATTAATCTGGACTCAAAAGTTCCTGCAGCACCTTAAATAACATGTTTTCTGTTAAATCTTGAGCAATGTTTCTGTGTAAGTTATCACATGGTACTGTGCAAGACGGCACTATCTTGAAAAAAATAAAATAAGGAAGCAACGGGAAGTTGATATTAACACCCATGTTAGTTTTTGTCTTTATAACTCCTACTTAACATTACATTTTGGAGAAATGAACACAACGAAAACATTTTCTTTGGCTAGCTTACGAACAATACATAGATGGCCTAGATGTTTATCAAAGACATGTCTTCTATTACTCTCCCCACCCCAATGGCCCAGCAGTAAGTCTGACGGCTCACACCTCTAAAAACAGGGGTTCGATACTCGTGGTGAGCACAGAACAGATATTCCATTGTGTACCTTTGCGCTTAACAACAAATAAACAGTTACTATGCTACAGCCCTAAATTTGTCGAATAACATGTTCTCTTTCACCTTCTTGTGTCTACGGCCACAGCTCTGTCAGATATCTTAATTCGATTGTTCGTAATCTATTTGTGTAAATTAATTGACTGTTTTCCAGCCCCATCAACCGATAGAACTACATAATAATTCAAACTGATAGGTTTTCATTAACTACAGTTATTCATGTAACTTAAGATATTTATAAAAACAAATCCTTTCAAAATTCCTTCGATCTCTTCACTTATTACAGTTGTACTGTATGATATTGATGATATGTTTCTGAACTATTTACTGTAGTTTGGCGCAAGAATACACAACAATTTGTTGTTAATAGTCTCTTCTTTTATTTGAAGCTCTTTTAGGATATGTCCGGATTGACAGTAATAGCTATAGAAAGACTCATTTTCATCTAACATCTGCAATGTAGGAAAAAACTGACGTCCGGTCAAATTCAACTTATTTTTCTTTTTTTTTTACACGAGTCTAATGGTAATGAGATATTTTACCACTGTGGCGAGAGGTCGGTGTTTTCAAACTCACGCGTGTCATTAGAGTAAAGAATAACCCTTAACCAAATTAAAGAATTACTCTAATAGAAAATATTTAAGCCAAACCCTTGTCCAATCTAAGTTTCACGCACACGCTTCTCTTCCTTCCAGAGGACGAAGACAACAAAACGAAGAACCTGTTTGTGCTGTCCGAACTATGTTCATTCTCCCTGAAGCTGGCCTAACGGATAGGTCAGAATGGAAATTTGTAGTCAACGTACCCGACAGGGACCCTCGATTCAAGCAAGTTATCAGGGTCGATGTTTGTAGGTAAGATCATCTCGGCAGGTACTTGATTATACCTGGTTTAATATAAGTTTCTAAACTTCCCGGAAGATGTCGAACGCTTAAAACTGTTGTTCATCATCAACTACGAATAGTATATTTGTGCACTCGTAGTGGGTTAACACACTAGTTAAGTTTGCTTAAATACTGTCTTGAACTACTCAAGTTCCAGAAAGTACAGACCGACAAAATACTGGGCTGAAGTTATTTCCAAGTGAGACCTCATAAGGCCAGAAAAAAATGATAGTTTTAAGATAGAAATTAAGATATATGTGCAGATTTTAATAAAATAAAATCCATTGAAACTCGCCGCATATAATATAATTGTTTAATCACTAATGCGATATTGTTTTAATTTGAAGCAAAGTTCTTATTTACAATTTAAGTATTAATACATGTCCACGTATCCTATTTTCTCCTAACTAACTGAAACTTTTAATGTACCAGAATGTTAACATTTTAGTGTATAATAGGTTCCAAAACTGCACCTTTTCCTCAGAATGGAACGAAGCCATTCATAGATTTGAGAGTAGGAGTAAAACATAAGTTTGAGTTTTAATATTGTTAGTGTACAACAATATCACAGATATTCATTTACAGAAATATGGAAACCGTCAGTTTTCTAGTACATCTCAAAGACTTTTTAACAATGTAAATTATTGATTATGTTTTGATAAGTAACCAAACACTTTTTATTTTAATGACTCTTGGTACTTAAGAAACTCAACACATTTTGCCATAAAATACTCACACACAGGTGTTCACTATCATCTATAAAGTAATCATCATGATATTAATCTTACAGCCTCTATTTAGCTTAATATCGTGCATTCCTTATTTTTCTTATAATCTTTATTTTCCCCATAAGAGCTTTTTTTAGATGTTTTTAACACAGAAATTTAAAAAAGACATCATTTTATAATTTTTTCTAGTGATCTATAATAGTTATAAATATAAAAAAAGAAAATATTATGTGGCTACCATTAATACATGTAACTCTTTTGGCAAGCAATCTTTATCAACCTCTTAACAGCATAAAACGGAAAGTCTGGAACAAATGACGAATGTTAATATCAACTCTGAAATTCGATTACAGCTATTTCTAGTTAATAACCATAAAAAAAACTTAAACGCTGTCCATTCTTTCCGGGCTCCTTGAAAATCCACATCGTTCTCCATTACATAAAACTTTCATTAGCTGGTAATGTCTATGAAATAAAGCCTTAATTGTCGGGATTAAACATAATTTCGTATCTCCGGGATTACCTCACGCAAACAGTGAATGCAAAACTGTACAGGCTAAGATCAAAGTTTCTTCTTTATCTTTAATAAATTTAGTCAGCAAAATTTGAAGTTGCTGTAATTTGTCAATATATATATATATATTAGTACAATTATTTTACAAAATGTTTTTCAAACATTGCACAGATTCCTAATTACAGATAAGGTATGTTCTTTATGTTTTTAGATTATCTCGATGATTATGATAGTTGAACACAGTAAATAATCTATTGAAGAGAAACATTTCATCTAAGCTTAACAGACGTCAAACAGTCAATAATAAGGGCCAAAAAACAATATGCATTTAGAAAAAAACAAGTTATACAACAATTCATAAACAGACAAAAATATATTCTATAAGTTCTTTATTAATGGCAAAAAAATATACATTCATAAAACAGTAGACACACAACTATTTATCAAAACCAGACAAAGAATCTATATTCACAAAATAGCAGACATACAAGCAGCAATCACACAACTGTCTATTAATAATAAACAATGTACATTCACAGAGTGGCTATCACACAACTGTCTATTAATAATAAACAATGTACATTCACAGAGTGGCTATCACACAACTGTCTATTAATAATAAACAATGTACATTCACAGAGTGGCTATCACACAACTGTATATTAATAATAAACAATGTACATTCACAGAGTGGCTATCACACAACTGTCTATCAACAATAAACAATATACATTCACAGAGTGGCTATCACACAACTGTCTATCAACAATAAACAATCAACATTCACAGAGTGGCTATCACACAACTGTCTATCAACAACAAACAATCAACATTCACAGAGTGGCTATCACATAACTGTCTATCAACAACAAACAATCAACATTCACAGAGTAGCTATCACACAACTGTCTATTAATAATAAACAATATACACTCACAGAGTGGCTATCACATAACTGTCTATTAATAATAAACAATGTACATTCACGGAATGGCTATCACATAACTAGTCTATTGATAATAAACAATGTACATTCACAGAGTGGCTATCACATAACTGTCTATTAATAATAAACAATGTACATTCACAGAGTGGCTACCACACAACTGTCTATCAACAACAAACAATCAACATTCACAGAGTGGCTATCACACAACTGTCTATTAATAATAAACAATGTACATTCACAGAGTGGCTATCACACAACTGTCTATTAATAATAAACAATGTACATTCACAGAGTGGCTATCACATAACTAGTCTATTGATAATAAACAATGTACATTCACAGAGTGGCTATCACATAACTGTCTATCAACAATAAACAATCTACATTCACGGAGTGGCTATCACACAACTGTCTATCAACAATAAACAATCAATATTCACAGAGTGGCTATCACATAACTGTCTATCAACAATAAACAATATACATTCACAGAGTGGCTATCACACAACTGTCTATCAACAATAAACAATCAACATTCACAGAGTGGCTATCACACAACTGTCTATCAACAACAAACAATCAACATTCACAGAGTGGCTATCACATAACTGTCTATCAACAATAAACAATCAACATTCACAGAGTGGCTATCGCACAACTGTCTATCAACAATAAACAATCTACATTCACAGAGTGGCTATCACACAACTGTCTATCAACAATAAACAATCAACATTCACAGAGTGGCTATCACACAACTGTCTATCAACAATAAACAAAAAAATCTACATTCACAAAGTGGTAATCACACAATTGTCTATCAACAATAAACAAAGAATCTACGTTCATAAGCTGGCTGAATTCACAAAAAGACAATTAAACAATTATCATTAACAAACGATAAATGATCTATATTCATAAAATGACAGTTTTACAACTATTTACCAACAACAAACAAAACATTTGTATTTAGAAAGCATGATTGTCATACAACTATTTCTAAACAATAGAGAAAAAAATGTGTGTTCTAATTAATATACTATTGATAATTAACTGTTCAAACTTACATTGTCAGAGCGTTTTGCAACTTATTATTTATTACGCTTTCCTACAAACGTAACTTTTCAATATTTAAAGATTATTATATATGCTTACCTTAACATCGAGTATTTCGTGCTTATCAAACATTATCATTAACGTTTCTTTATGTGTTATCCAAACTATTTCTGATAGATATTTTTAAAATGATCATTTTTTCCATCCCTCGGGGTTTTGTCCATCGGAAACTCAGTGGTTATCTTCGGGGTTTATGAATGTAAAATTCGGGATTCGATTCTCGCGACGGACACATAGCAGATAGCCAATGGCAGCTTAACGCTAGAGAAAACAACCTGGGATTTTTTTCAGTTTATTATAGGTATACAACTACTTAACAATGATGGACCAATACCTTTATTCATAAATAAAAATTACACAGCTATTCGTTATTAGGAAATAAACAAATAACTGATAATTATACAAATACTGGTCAATAAAGAAAAACTGCTCTCAAAAAGTGGTAGTTATACTGTTATTATTCAATACAAAATAATCAATGCCCAACTACTAACAGTCAGTGAAAAAGATGTACACTAGATATACACCTATTGCTCAACAAATAATTGTACCAGGGCCTTAGCTAAACTTGAACAACAATAACAACGACAAATAAAAAAAAAAACTGAGGCAATATCCTACAGTACTTTTATCTGCATTAAAGAGGTCTTGTCCGTGGATACTTGAATCAAGTATCGCTTACAAGCTATAAGATCATTGTCGGGTCTTCGGTTCTTTTTTTTTCAGTGCAAAATTCGGACAGAACAAATATGAACATGTTAGGTAAAAGTGATTAGTTAACACCCTTGTCTGCCTCAACGGGAACTATGGGTCTGTCTGGACTCTGACTGATGGTTATACAACTACTTATCAATAATAAAGAAATCTGAACTCAAGGAATAATAAATATGTATTTAATTAACAATGGGTATTCAACAATAACGCAGAAATAAAGTGAATGTTATTGTTTAAAACAGTTTAAAACCGCACCCTAAAAGATATGTTCATGAAGCTACTTACCAATAGTAAACACAATACACTTTCACGTGAGGATAGTTATACAAAGGTTGCTCAGTAATAATAAAAGACTGGAATCAAGAAAGGTGTTTATATTGTATTTATCGATAAACGTCACAACCATAAAACTATTCTTTAATTTTAAGCACATATAAACATATAAAACATATAACCATAAAATAAAAGTGATATAAATATTATTATCAAAAATGGACAAGAAATTGGTTTTCACGAAATGATAGGCATAGACAAAAACCACGAATTAATAAAATGAAAATCATACAACTATTAATCAACAACAAATACTTTGTATTTACAAAAGGGCAATCATACAGTAATTTATTAACAATAGACAAAAATATGTATCCACAAAGCACCAGTCATACAATTATTTATCAACACTCCATAAATCTCTGTTAAAAGCATGTAAACTGCTCTATGATTATGACCAAACATCCGCTCTATAACCGATAAACAATGAAATAAAAAATAGTACTAATAAAGTTTCGATTTTCCCGTGTTCGTCAATAATGAATAAAACATGAAAACAACGAATACAAGCCTGAAAGAAAAGGAATATACTTATATGACATTAAAGACATCAAATATTCATCATCACTAGAGAAAGTGGTTTTTAATTCAGAATTAAAGCACTGTCCATATTATT